ATTTCAACCACTCAGCCCCCCTGAACTCAGATTTTCTTCTCAGTGCAGCAAGACCACCATGCTTTGCTTAGAGTCTTTGTCTTTGGACTATGGATTTTACTGCAGACACAGAATGTGTCTACAAGTGGAAAGCCAGAGTCATCACAAGGCTTCCTCATTTGTATCCCTTCTCTCAGCAGTCAGAAGTATTATACTGCCTGTGGTACAGTGTCTGAAAAAAATTGTTCCACGTATTCTGTTTAGTTTTCCAGTTGTTTAGTGTAGGAGTGTACGTCTCTACCAGTCGCTTCATGATATGAGGCAGAAAACCCTCAGCCACAGGCCAGAATCTCTAGCCCATATATATCAATACTTGCATACTCCCATGAGAGCTGGAATGTCCTGCTCAGTACGTTGTGTTATTTTTATGTTTTATAGTGGATCTTTCCAGGTAGACTTTGCTGCTTATACTGTAGCTGTTTGTCTTTATCCCTCATCTCTTCATTTAGTATGGTTTAAATGTGATTCTTTCATATTTGATACATTGTAGTAGGAATTGTAGGTTTTAGAAAACAGACTTAAAAGGTAGTTTGAATATGTGTAACTTTTAAAATTCTCTTAATCAAAATGATTGTTTTTTAGTTTTTGTGTTTGGATTTTTCATGTAAACTAATATTTATCTCAGTTAAGTCTGTTATATTTAGGAACCATTAACCTATAATGTTGAAAAGAACTTGTGAGGCTTCCTATCAGTTAACACAGTCTAAACTAAAATGTCAAGGTACAGGTTAAATGGGCTCTTGAGAATGAACAAAGGACAAGAAGCTGAGTTATTCATGTTCATTTTGTCTGGGAACCACCACATCTGCCTCTAAGGCTGAGTAATCATGACCTATTAGTGTGGTTATGGAAAGTATATATCAGTTTAACTGTGTGAACCATCCTTTCTTTAGGGAAAATATTCTCATCAGATTGCTGAAAATTTCCCTTTTTAGAACATTTAAATTAAAACTATGAATCAGTCTTTTATCTTGTTGGATAACCTGTTTAATCTGTTGGGGTGCATATTTTATTCTTGTTTCTGGAATAGAAATGTAGGTTTTTCCTTCCTATATAATCCCAGAAATCTTATAATTTTAGTGTCTAGGATGGTTCAATTTTTTTTCACCTAGAGTTCATTTCTAGAGGACAGTTGTAAGGATATCATGGACAGACTCTTGAATTTCTTTTGTTTTGCCTAGTAGTATCACATTTCTCTTTTGTGTTTTCAAACAGTAAATGTGGAAGTTACAGGGGTTTTTAAAAAATATTTATTTTCTTTATTTTTTTTGGCTGTGGTGGGTCTTAGTTGTGGCACGCAGGATCTTCATTGAGGCACGCGGGATCTTTCGTTGCAGCATGTGGACTTCTCTCTAGTTGTGGCACACAGGCTCCAGGGCACGTAGGCTCTGTAGTTGTGGCGCGCAGGCTTCAGAGCACATGGGCGCTGTAATTTTGCGGCAGGTGGGCTCTCTCATTGAGGCACACAAGCTCAGTAGTTGTGGTGTGTGGGCTTAGTTGCCCCGCAGCATGTGGGATCTTAGTTCCCTGACCAGGGATCGAACCCGTATCCCCTGCATTTGAAGGCAGATTCTTTACCACTGGGCTGCCAGGGAAGTCCCCCCCCTCTTTTTAAATTGCATCTGATGTTAGCTATAAGTAAGTGTACAGTGAGAAATTTTTCACTAATTGTTTAGTTACTCTGAATTCTACAAACTTTAAACTTGGGTTTGTGTGTGTGTGTAGGATCACAAAATAATTCTTTTTTCTTTAACTGAAATCTCTTTTGTGCACATAATATTCAAAGAAACAGTTGTAGATTTCATGGTTAATCACAACTTTTCAATAAAAGTTCCTTTTTTAGAGATTCTATAATCATTTTTTAAACTTATTATCACTACTTATTGATTTCTGTGAATTAAAATTCAAGAAAAAGATGAACAGACTAAAAATTCACATAAGTTTTTTTTTTTTGGTCCAGAAGAAAACCTTATAGTTAATTGAGTCAGTGCTAAGTGTAGGATTTCATTTTTTAGACTTTTATTTGAACACAAAATGCAACTGTATTTAAGGAGAAATGTAGCTTAGATTTATGAATGTCTTTCTTTTTCGTATTAACATGCAACAGAAAAATTTGTTTAATGTCACCTTTTATCTGGATAGCAGTAGGAGTTCTTTAATGTTTTATTTCCATCACTACATCTTATGCACTTTGTCTTTGAGCCACAAATGCTTTCACCATGTGGTTTAAAAAGACTTTCTTATGGGCTTCCCTGGTGGCACAGTGGTTGAGAGTCCTCCTGCCGATGCAGGGGGCACGGGTTTGTGCCCCAGTCTGGGAAGATCCCACATGCTGCGGAGTGGCTAGACCCGTGAGCCATGGCCGCTGAGCCTGCGCATCTGGAGCCTGTGCTCCGCAACGGGAGAGGCCACAACAGTGAGAGGCCCACGTACCGCAAAAAATAAATAAATAAATAAAAAGGCTTTCTTATATCCAAAGATCACTTACTATATGCGTATCTATATATACATACATATGTATGTGTGTGTATCTATATATACATACATATGTATGTGTGTGTATATAATTTTATTCTACAAATACAGTACTTTTGTTCATAACAGCTAATGGCTAATACTTTTTGAGGGCTTATTACATGCCCAGCACTGTTCTAAGCCTAGTACTTTATATGTGTGTTACAGTAACATGTTAAGAATATCCAACTTCTAGAGCTTACACTTCATGAGAACTTTGGAAATTAGCAATAGATTTTATTGACATCTTGATTATGTTAGGGGTTTTTGAATTTTGGAGCTAGATAAAAACATAAGATGAATCTAATTCTTTTGCCTTGCAGAAGAGTAGCTTGAGGTCCAGGAAGGTTAAGTGACTTGTCTGAGTTCGCTTATTTTCTGACACCTAATAGCCTATTAGAAGCTTGTTTAAAACATACAGGTTGGGGGGCTTCCCTGGTGGCACAGTGGTTAAGAATCTGTCTGCCAATGCAGGGGACACAGGTTCGAGCCCTGGTCCGGGAAGATCCCACGTGCTGCAGAGCAACTAAGCCCATGTGCCACAACTGCTGAGCCTGTGCTCTAGAGCCTGCAAGCCCACGTGCCGCAACTGCTGAAGCCGGCGCGCCTAGAGCCCATGCTCCGCAACAAGACAAGCCACCTCAATGAGAAGCCTGCACTCTGCAACCAAGAGTAGCCCCTGCTCGCTGCTACTAGAGAAAGCCTGCACTCAGCAACAAAGACCCAACGCAACCAAAAATAAAAATAAATAAATTTTTAAAAAAATCAATTAGTTAAAATAAATAAATACATAAAACATACAGGTTGGGAATTCCCTGATGGTCCAGTGGTAAAGAATCCGCCTTAAAATGCAGAGATGCAGGTTTGATTCCTGGTCGGGGAACTGGGATTCCACATGCCTCAGGGCAGCTAAGTCTGCACACCACAACTACTAAAGGTTACATGCCTCAACTAGAGAGCCTGCGTGCCCGCAAACTACAGAGCCCACATGCTCTGGAGCCCGCGTGCCACAACTACAGAGCCCAGGCACCCTGAAGGCCTGTGCGCCACAACTAGAGAGAAGCCTGCGTACCACAACGAAAGATCCTGAAAGATCCCACATGCCTCAACGAAGATCCTGCATGCCGCAACTAAGACTCGATGCAGCCTAAAATAAAACAAATAATAAATAAATCTTAAAAAAAAAACCTGAATCTTAAAAAATAATAAAAATAAAATAAAACGTACAGGTTCCTATGTCCACCTATTGAATCAACTTATGCTTAGGGGACCCTGAAATTTATATTTTTAACAAAGTCCATAGTTGATTCTTATGCAGACACCTCGTCATGGCATACCTGTTAATTTGGAAACCACTGTGTTTAAACCTTTATCACACATCTAAATGTTAATTCATTTTAATCTATATGATTATTATTAATTTGTAATATTTCTAAATAAAGGTACAAAGCAGCCCAAAAGCTTCCATAGAAAAAATTAATTTAAAAGAAAAACTAACTGATACTGATTCCACAGTTTTATTTTTGTTTTGGGATGTCAGTGGGAAAGATAAGTGATGTAATTACTTCATCAACTTTTTTCTTTTGAAGTATAGTTAATTTACAATGTTGTGTTAGTTTCAAGTGTATAGCAAAGTGATTCAGTTATATATGTGTGTGTGTATATATATATATATATATATATATATATACTTTTTCAGATTCTCTTCCATTTTAGGTCATTGCAAGATACTTAGTAGAGTTTCCTGTGCAATACAGTAGGTCCTTGGTTACCGATTTTATATGTAGTAGTGTGTATCTGCTAATCCCAAACTCCTAATTTCCCACCCCCACCCCCACTGTCCCCTTTGGTAACCGTAAGTTTGTTTTCTATGTCTGCATCAACTGTTTTTTAAGTAAGGAAAAAATATAGTATTCTCAAATTATGCCTAAAGGAATAGGGGCACAGGAGGTTTTTATCACAGGGGATGGCATTCTTACAAATGAGATATGTGGATAAATAAAATAAGAATCAAGACAGAAATCATATGGTTTCCAGGGTCTAGTGTTGGGGGAAGGAGATTGACTACAAAAGGACACAAGAGAACTTTTTGCAGTGACGGGACTGTTCTGTACCTTTATCTTGATAGGTTATGGTTATACGACTGAATATAATTGTCAAAGCTTATTGAACTACTGACCTAAAAAAATGGCTCTTACTATATGTAAATTATACATGAGTAAATTTGAAATTGGTTTTTAAGAAAGCAAACCATAAGAGATTCTGGAAAGGATTATTTTTTCAAATTATCAGTTGCATCTTGAAATATTAGGTAGATTCTTGTTCTTTAAAAGCTAACATTTTTCTATTAATATAGAGTGATTAAGGTACCATTAAAATAACATGTCTATTAATAATTGCTTTCTCTTTAATATTTCTCATCAGAGATTTCTCATATTTTTTTGTAGGGTCCACATATAGCTTCAGTTACATTAGCTGCTTATGAATGCAATTCAGTTAATTTCCCTGAACCACCCTATCCTGATCAGATTATTTGTCCAGATGAAGAGGGCACTGAAGGAACCATTTCTTTATGGAGCATCATCTCAAAAGTTAGGATTGAGGCCTGCATGTGGGTAAGATGTCCATTTTCATATTTGTTCAAAATTAACCTCACTGTCTTGATTCTTTGTACCTCATTGAAATTGAAGCCAGACATATACCAAGTCAGTAGATAATTAATTAATAAAGTTACCAGCTACCTAGCTTCCATGTAAAAGAAACCTTTAGAGCTTCTCCTGTTCATGAATAACATTCAGAAGGAAGGCAGGAAACCTTAGGTACCAGGAAGCATTGATACCAAGTAGACAATAGCAGGGAAAAGGAGTATAGATGGTGCAACTATACTACTTTGTAAAGTTTTACTAACGTTTATAAAACTTGATAAACACATAGCAAATGGTTATATATCAGTCCAAATTAGGTAAGTATTATATGTCTCTCTCCTAGATTTAAATACTCTGTGTTTATTCTTAGAAGACTCATTTCATTTTCTGAGTTGTTGTAATACTAAAGTAAGGTCAGACATTTCTTAATAAACTTAGCTTTACTGTATTGGAGGTATCAGACTATATGGTGACCTTACTTTCAGAAGTTCCAATTATTCTTTTTATGGCTTGCTTAATATATTTTGGGAAATTTTGGACTACATGATCAATGGTAGATGTATTTTAATCTGCATATCCATACAAAGCATTTTTTATATGCTTAAATTCATTCACATGTATATCATTGAGGAATAGTTCATTTGCTAAAGACTTCCTATTACCATTTGAATTATTTTTTAATTCATCATTTGGAATCACTAAGTTTTATGTTCCCTGTAACTTTTTTTCCCCTAACAGTTTCTTATAAAATGAAAAATGTGGAACACATCACTTAAAACTCTTAATTAAAATGAACATGAATAGAATGCCCACAGAAGAGGCAGAGTTTTCAAACACATTCAAGCGTTTATGTCGTGTTTTAAAATAATTAAAAGGGAAATGCCATGTATTGAATTTGTTGAATATGAAAGACAGGAAAAATTGTCATATTTCCTGTTACTCTTTTATAAATACTGGAAACAAATTCATTATACTAGTTGCATATGTATTATAAATTTTACCACATTAGTCTTTTTTTTTTTAAACATCTTTATTGGAGTATAATTGCTTTACAATGGTGTGTTAGTTTCTGCTTTACACATTTGTCTTTTGATGAAAAGCTATTAATAAGATAACTAGATATTCAGAACATGCTAGAAAAGGAGTATGTATATAGCCTTCAATTTTCTGTTGTTCTTTTGTTCTTTCAAAAATGATTTATGTGGCTAGATTAACACTAATGCCAACAAAGAAAATTTTTCATTCCAGCTGGCAGTGATAACTGCTTCTTCCAAAGTGCATATTGTCTGAAGCACTCATTTGGCCTGGCTCCATGCATGCCTCAAATTAGTTAAATTGGCTGGTGTAGTGGCTTACTTCCCCAAATAAATTTTAAGCTCCTCAAAAAATTCAGACTGTACCTTAAATTTATTACTCACAGCAATCAGCATTAGGCTTTGCTCATAGTTCAAGAATACCAATAGGGCTTCCCTGGTGACGCAGTGGTTGAGAGTCCGCCCGCCGATGCAGGGGACACAGGTTCGTGCCCCGGTCCAGGAAGATCCCACATGCCGCAGAGCGGCTAGGCCCGTGAGCCATGGCGGCTGAGCCTGCGCATCCGGAGCCTGTGCTCCGCAACGGGAGAGGCCACAACAGTGAGAGGCCCACATACCGGAAAAAAAAAGAATACCAATAAATACTGATTGTCTGAATGTTTGTTTGTTCTTCATATTCCCTTCTTTGAAACAGTCTTTTGTTATGTAAAAAAGGTAGCACATATCAAGTTCTGCTTAAATTCGTTCCTTTTGTTTTCACCATTTACAAAGAGTCCTTTCATCAGAGGATGCTGGGAAAACTGAATATCCACCTGCAAAAGAGAGGGGTTGGATCCTTATCTTACACCATATGTAAAAATTAACTCAAAATTAATCAAAGACCTAAACTTAAGAGTTAAAACTGTAAGACACTTAGAAGAAAATATAGAAACAAATCTGCCTGGTGATTTGGCAGTGGTTCTTAAATAAGACATTGAAAGCAGAGGCAACAAAAGAAAAAAATAGATAAATTGAACTTAGCTAAAATTAAAACTTCTTGTACATCAAAGGACACACTATCAAGAGAGTTAAAAGACAACCCACAAAAAGGGAGAAAATGTTTAAAAGTCATATATCAGATAAAGGTTTAATATTCAGTATGTTTAAAGAACTACACAACTCAACAACAAAAAGACAAACAACCCAATTAAAAAATGGGCAAAGGATTTGAATAAACATTTCTCCAAGGAAGACATACAAATGGCCAATAAGTGCACAGAAAGATTCTCAATATCATTAGTCATTGGGGAAATGCAAATCCAAACCAGAAGGAAATACCTCTTCACACAGATTAGGATGGCTATTATTTTTTTAGAAAACGAAAAATAACAAGTGTTGGTGAAGATGTGGAGAAATTGGAACCCTCATAGATTGCTGGTGGAAATGTAAAGTGATTTAGTTGCTGTGGAAAAGAGTTTGGTGGTTTCTCAAAAATGTAAACGTACATTTACTATATGACCCTCCTCTAATTCCATTCCTACATAAATACCCAAAAGAACTGAAAACTGGGACTCTAATATGTACAGAAACTTGTAGTTCATTGTTCAGTAACATTATTCACATTATCAGAAAGGTGGAAACAATCCAAGTGTCTCTTAACAGATAAATGGATAAACAAAGAGTATTATATACACATAATAGAATACTATTCAGCCATAAAAAGGAATGAAGTTCTTATACATGCTGCAATATAGATGAACCTAGAAAAACATTATGGTAAATGAAATAAGCCAGACATAGAAAGACAGATATTGTATGATTCCACTTATGTGAGCTATCTAGACAATTCAGATTCATAGAGACAAAAAGTAGGTTTGAGGTTACCAGGGTTGTGGGGAATGAGAAGTTAATGTTTAATGGGTATAGAGTTTCCATTTGGGTGAAGAAAAATATTGAAAATATAATGATGATGGTTGCACAACATTGTGAATACAACTAATGCCACTAAATTTTATATTTAAAAATGGTTAACTGGGATACACTCATAAAAAGTCAATACTGGGACTTCCCTGGTGGTCCAGCAGTTAAGACTCCACTGTGTTCCCAATGCAGGGGGCCCGGGTTCGATCCCTGGCCTGGAAACTAGATCCTGCACACCACAACTAAAGACCTGGTGCAGCCAAATAAATAAATAAATGTTAAAAAAAAAAAAAAGTCAATACTACCGAAGTTGAGAAATGTTGATTTAGAGTGTATTGGCCTTGATTCTTATATCTTACCCTTTCATAAAATTGATCCCATTTGTGTTCACATCCATATTTTTTTTTTCAGGGGAATATCTTGCTTGATTAAAAACTGTTATGTTATTTAAAATTTTTACCTAATTTGTACTTTACGAAGTAAAATATCTTTACAGACTTCACTATCATTATAAATATAGTAAATCAGTAAAATCATTAAAATACATAGTGCCTCCAATTATAAGATGAAGACCAGGGTCAACCTCAGTTTCAACTTGTTCACATAAGTCTTTGGAGCCCATTAAGATGAATTGTTTGGTGTTGCTGATAAGTAGGTTACCTTTTTTCAGTTGTTATCTTTTTCACCTTTTACAATTTGACTATATCACTAGTGTAAGGCTTCACAAATTTTCTTTTCAGTTATAAATTCCAATAATAGTTATTAAACCTCCAAGCATTGGAGATTCAGAGTGAGCAAAACTTAACAGTCTCTACCCTCATGGAGCTTTACATTCTAGTGAGGGAAATAATTATGGAAAAATGTATATATAAGTATTGTCAAAAAATTATATATATAAATATTTAAACAAATTGAGATAACTGCTATGAAGGAGAAATTTATTGCATAACACAAAAATGTTTTCCTAGTCTGTGATTCAGGGAAGATTTCCTTGAAATAGCAGTGTTTCAATGGGTATCTAAGGATAATAAGGAGTACAGTGAGGAGGCAGGATGGTGGCAGGGCAGAGGAGAGGAAGCATGTGTGATGACTTTCAGAGAGAGAACATCACCTTTTTTTTTTTTTTAACATCTTTATTGGAGTATAATTGCTTTACAATGGTGTGTTAGTTTCTGCTTTATAACAAAGTGAATCAGTTATACATATACATATGTCCCCATATCTCCTCACTCTTGCATCTCCCTCCCTCCCACCCTCCCTATCCCACCCCTCTACGTGGTCAAAAGGCACTGAGCTGATCTCCCTGTGCTATGCAGCTGCTTCCCACTAGCTATCTATTTTACGTTTGGTAGTGTTTATATGTCCATGCCACTCTCTCACTTTGTCCCAGCTTCCCCTTCCCCTTCCCCGTATCCTCAAGTCCATTCTCTAGTAGATCTGCATCTTTATTCCCATCTTGCCCCTAGGTTCTTCTGACCATTTTTTTTTTTTTTTTAGATTCCATATATACGTGTTAGCATACAGTATTTGTTTTTCTCTTTCTGACTTAGTTCACTCTGTATGACAGTCTGTAGGTCCATCCACCTCACTACAAATAACTCAGTTTCGTTCCCTTTTATGGCTGAGTGATATTCCATTGTATATATGTGCCACATCTTCTTTATCCATTCATCTGTCGATGGGCACTTAGGTTGCTTCCATGTCCTAGCTATTGTAAATAGAGCTGCAATGAACATTGTGGTACATGACTCTTTTTGTTGTTGTCCATTTTATTGGCATATAGTTGCTTGTAGTAATCTCTCAGGGTATATGCCCAGTAGTGGGATTGCTGGGTCGTATGGTAGTTCTATTTTTACTTTTTTAAGGAACCTCCATACTGTTCTCCGTAGTGGCTGTATCAATTTACATTCCCACCAACAGTGCAAGAGGGTTCCCTTTTCTCCACACCATCTCCAGCAATTATTGTTTGTACATTTTTTGATGATGGCCATTCTGACCAATGTGAGATGATACCTCATCGTAGGTTTTTTTTGTTTG